CAATCCTCACGTGCACATTCATGCCCACGCTCGTCGTCATCATGTGTGTTCTTGAGAGCTGAAGGAAGGTGGATGCGTGGTTGCCCTACCGAAAATGCCAGCAGTGCCACCATGAGAGTTATTGTCATCATCCGTAAACCATCGCCCTGCTCAACTGCATTGTCCTACATCCTAAGGCCTTAAGACAGCATTGAACCAGAAGCATTGCCTTTTCTGAAGCAGCATGGAGCATAGTCGCCGCCCAGACTCCTCTTTTGAATAGCAAGCAGAATCTCAATTCACTACCTTATGCCGCGATACGGGTAGTAAGTTGGAGTTTCATGGGTAGCTACACGTGGATCAAAAAGTGTTCTAAGTTGGGCCCTACATGCGTTTGTCTGACTTCGGCTCAGTCAGTACCCTGAGCCCGGCAGGTGTCTACACTCTCCAGGGAAGTGGGAGACTGCGAGGCTTGGCATGCCTTCGGGTTGAGGATTGACGGTGCATCAGGGTTTAGCGCTGAGTGTTGAGGTCCCACCGTCGCAGATTGTTGGGTTTAGGCTCCAGTAGTGCAGTCTGCAGGCCGTTTTTCCTGCAACTTTACTTCGGCTTTGCTGTTAGGATCGGCGCTTTCAGCTGGCATTCCAGTATAAGTCAAGTTAAAGGTTATGAGGGTGTTGGAGACATGGGTTGGGAGTTTGCAGCTCAAGGATCACGATCCAAGGCATGGGCTGCAGCATGTGTAGTAACTATAACAAGTTCCCACGAAAATCACTAAAACTTTCGGTTGCAATCATGTTTTTCCCGTCCAGTACAGGGCATTCGGATACATTGTCCCCGGCTAGCTCTTTCAGGATTACCCCATGGCTGCTGGCTGAAGCTTTGGGCTTCGCAGTCCAAGGAGTGCGATTCTATTCTTGGGGCGCCAGAGTATTCGGGTGCTCCTGGATATGTTCCTCCTCGCTTCCAACCCAAGCCCAACCCCAAACGCCACGCTCCAACTCTGCGTTCGGTAAGTGCGGCCCTGAAAAAAGCAAAACCACAAGACCTTTTTCAGCCAGATTCTGATACACGTGCAAGCAGATCCAAGTGCCCAAGCATGGGGGGGGATCACGAACCTCTCTGACAATATTTTGACATTCAACGCCCAATGCATTTTTACTTATTCAGGCCTAGGGGTACTGAGAAGCAACACATATTTTCATGTGCGATGATTGCTATTGGCATCATAGGGGGCTCGCTCAAAACAAGTATAATCTGCTATAGAAGTTCCTCCAAGTTTTGAACAATTTTGACGTTGGGGTTCCGCTGCAGTGTGAGCATAGATTTTCGCCATATGTGCAGGGGTACATACGGGATCCTGGGAATCTAAGATGTACCCAAATCACTAGATGTGGGTCCCGGACCCCAGCTCCTGGACTTGGGTCTTCTCTGCTCTTCCCAAAGTACGAAGTGCATCCTTGTTCGGATCACTCTGCAACATTTTTGGTAGATTAAATTTGAGGAATAGAGTGATTGGCCAAAATATGGCGAAACCTGGATCTAATTCTATGCTTGAAGCCCTTCAAGGCGCAATACAGCACTGGTTCAATTACAACAAATGCTTCCCATCTTGCAGTAGTGAGTGTAGGTCCAGGTTAGTTTCAGGGAAGCGTATGAGCTTTCGATGTACTTGGATGTCCAGGGAATATAGGTGATGCAGGCGCCTACGCCCGCAACGCGGGAACCTCGAGCCTTCACCTTGAAGCCCTCCACCCATGACCCTGCACGTTAACCGTTACCGAAACAGGTGATAAAGGTCTGCTGCAGTGATGAGCTCCCGGGCAAAAAAAGAAGACTTTCGGGCTTAGCGCGGTTGAGGTGCGCGGGCTTAGCTCCACGGTTCAGGATTTAGGGTGCTCGGGTTTGACGCTTTTAATTTCAAAAGCCACATAGCAGGTGAATTTTCTACCTACACGGACTAAAAACCCGTCCAGTGGGCGCTGTGGTCATGACCGCCGAAAGGGCTGCGCCCAAAAGTATATAGAGGCCAAGAATCAGGCTCAGGCGCGAAAAGTTCGTTGGCCGACGATTTCCATCCATGCGCATGGACCCGTGGGCTCGGGCATGTACTTGGGGGTTGGCAGCAAGGAAGGGGGGAGGGGCATGGTTGAGAGAATCAAGGAGGTCACGTGTTTCAGACTAGCGCTTCAGTGAAGCCCGGGCAGGATTTGCAACTTGTAGCAGGTGGAGACTCGGGACCCGGGCGATGTGCGGTGCAATGCCCTTTCAGAGGTTCAGGGATTAAGGCCATATAGGTCTTACATACAAAGTAACTTGAGGCACCACTGAGCCCTCCCCAAGTTGTCCATGCATCATAAGCAAGTCCTTACCTTGCGGCCTACTTAGGCTCCTTCAAGAACACATCTAGTTTCAGTCTGTACATCTGTATAACCCTGATGAGCTGCTGCAAGCGACTTCAGTACCCTATCCCCTCAGTTTGCATCACGCTCCAACATCTAGTCCAATCCCTGCATGACAGCACTTGTTTCGGTACCTCATGGTCACCAGGAGAAGATGTTAGCCGAGACTCATGCTAAACGTTTTATAGTATTACTTGAACCCTAGGCTGCCCAGCAAGAAGAAACCTTGCCACATACAAGGGATTGCACCGGAGGTGCAACCTGCAACATAGCGATTGCTGCTTGAAGGGCAGTAGGGCAAAGGTCTCACAATGGAGGGCGTTTGTTTCAGCCTTGTCAGATGTGTGACATGTATCTTTTTGTGCAGCTTGTTCTGGAATCGTCGCAATTTCGTGCACTTGATGTGAATTCCGTTTCTGGATACTCTCCAACATGAAGTTGACCTAGGCCACTGCGCTTCCTATTCTCCACGCACTCCTTCGCGAATTCATACTTGACGGGTTATGTAGTGTTTAGAAGTGTACTTGGTATTCCCATTGCCTATCTGAATCCCCATTTCTTTCGAAGACTACTTGCGCTACAGGCCGCTTACGCAATCCATCCAAATCCCTATAGCTATAAACTTGTTTGAGCACGCCGTCCGAGTCGAGTTTGTAGGTCCCAGAGTTGCACTGGCAGGACGCGTAGCAGCTGTTGTAGTTTTTTGTTGACACTTACTCGGGCATGTGCCGAATCTTTTTGGGATCCCTATTATAATGCGGCACCTAATATGTAGGGTACCCAAAAAGGGACCATAATTTTGACAACCACCCATATGAACTTCAAGCTTGGCCAGTTCTGATTTGTCGTATCATTGGATGCTTCAGCTTTGTGGTCTTAGACCTATTGCAGCTAGACAGGGATCAGGTTTTAAAGACGGGTATTAACCATCTGCACTCTATTTCATCAAGCTGGCGACCCGTATCCCCCAGCAGCTGCTGCGGTTTGTCTCCAGTCAGCTAGGGGATTACGTCAAGCAGAGACTCCGCGTCTCTCTCATCTGAAGCCGACACTGGAGCTTCGAACACCAAGCCCCAAATCTGGGACCTCCGGCCAGTTCGAACTTAGCACGCGTGCCTATAGCATGAACGTCTGCTGCTCTTCGGGGTTCAAGAGTAGGTCCGTAGGTTTCCCAGAGTCAGTAGGACATCCTGGGACCAGCATATCTGCCACATAGCAGCAGCCCAGGTTCTCTGTATGCTACAGCACGACCTGGGATTACAAGCCGCCCGGTCATTGTTTTTAGGTTGGGGGAGGTCATGGTCATGCGCATCAAAGGTAGCCCGCCTTGGTCTATGACAGGGAAGCCCAGTAATCTTGGGCTTGGCAGGGTTTGAGGTTTGGATGGGGTCCAGGATTGTGAGGATTGCTGCATGGTTGCGGCTCCAAGTACTCGTGAAGTAAGCAGGACATGAGGAAGATTCTTACTGAACAAACTTCCCTCAGAATCGTACTCTTATCATGCATCCTGAACGCAGGAATCTTATTTGGGGCAAGACGCCTTAGAGCTGTTCACTGATATGCCCTCACGCCTCCATACACTGTTCAACATCTGTAGGCTGATATTGAGACGCAGAATTTCTATGAAGCCATTCGGTACTGTGGCTCTTTCAAAACATATTAAGCCGACGTAATCTTTTGTGCCCTTGCAAAGACACCCTGCGAAGCAATAATCCCTGCAACCCAAATCCGAGACTCCAATTCCAAAATACGTACTCAAGCGCGTCGCAATAGGCTTCCAACTCTTACTACACCCCTCAAACCCCAAAACTGGCCGCACCTTGTTGGGTTGGGTTTCTGCGCCGGCCAGGCTGGCAGCCAGCATCGTCCGAACCGACGAAGTCAGCGGCGTCTCGAACGTATTAGGGCTTGCTGCTGTCAGCATTAGAGTTCACCACAAAATCAAGAGGGGCAACAAGATTCCGTATCAGAGCCATAGTTTAAACTTTTTCCAGACCAAAATCCCATGACCCCTATAGGTTGGGCAAGATTTATGGGCCGAAGCCTCATCTGGGACTTATGTAGTAAAAAGGAAGGGACCGTACAAAGATGGTTTCAGGTAGTTTAGTACAGAGGAAGTTGCTTCGATTCAGCATGTATAGGATTTTGTGTAGGTTGCCAGGCGTACAGAATCCAGTTTATTAGTGGGGCATTTGACCATAGTGCATCTTGTTTCAGGCCGAACAGCCCTCAGCCTCATCGGATAAGGGGTCCTTTTTTACCAGTGATGTGCGTTGGCAGCTGACCCTGTCAAATTTGTCAGCTGCCCAACGGCATGAAGTTGAAGCCTTGTGTATCCCCAACAAGCAGATCTTGAGTGTCTGACCTTTAAGACAGCAAAAGCGTCTCTTAAGTGTCGCAAGCTTGCGAATCCTTGCCATCGTAGCAGAGGAAAGCTGCTAACACCCTCTCTTACAAACACCTGCGTGTCTCAGGTTCGGAGGTTCTCTTGAACTCTGGTTCGAATATAGGCAGCCCACGGGCCGAATCACAGGTGACGAGCCCCAATGCCTGAACAGGTTGAACTTGCAACTGTCTGCAGTTTTGTCGGTTCCAAATCTTCCTTCGGCAGCAATCGGCATGGCGGTTTGGCTGCTCCTGGGCGTTGTGCTCTGCGCGGCGCACGCGGAACCTGATGTGGAGAAAGTCTTCGAACAGTATCTGAAGGATCGGGCTGCTGTAGGTAAGGACTCATTCATTCTCCAACGTTCTCCTCGTATATGGGAGGCCTTAAGCATTGATGCGCTGTTAAAGCTGGATACCCGGGCTCCATGGGCTCCAAAAGTGCCCCTGAAGCTGACATCATATTGGGGTTCATCAAGACCGCCTGCATGATACATTCTACATTGGAGGATCGCAAGTTGAGGGCAGAGCGTGTGTTTGGGACTACTTCGGACCCCACGACACCCGTGCCACCTTGAGATGGGTTGGTTTGTTCGGCTGGAAACAGTGTTAAAGGAGGGTAGTTTCTGTGGTTGCCACTTCATCTTTGACAAGATTCCCCCACTATCAGAAAAGTCCAGTTTTCAAGTTTGAGCTGGAGAGTCAGAAGGTGCCGGCAAGTCATTGAGGAGTGTTATTACCCACCTTATCCTAACAATGTTGCATGCGTTGATGTCAGCCCTATACCTGTCACTCGGAACTTGGACAGTGAGGCCGAACTGTGGAATTTGCTGCCATGCTGGAGGATTTCCGAAGCTTGGGGCTTCCAGTGGGTCAAAATGGGTGCCGACAAAGCAAAACCTCCAAATGAGCGGAGAAGCCCCAGCAAAGCCCTTCGGCATCTTTCGGCACGATCCTTCAACTCCAAAATTTCTTACACTCAGGCTTCGTGATGGTTTAGGGTTTCCTTGATACGGGCACAGTTGAGGAGGATTGCAGAAGGTCGGTCGGCATTTCCAAAATTGGAGCTTGCTCTGCCTGCCAGGATTTCAACAAAAAGTATGCAAGCGGCGAGAGGCAACTGCGTTTCGCTGCATTCAAGGAGAACTATGAGTGCCCTGGCAGAAGCGGCTTAACCCCAAAACCCTTGGCCCGTTGCCCCCTTGATTGCCCTGCCAATGCAGCCCGAGATAGCAATGTCGACTGGATGTAATCATTCATTGCAGATTGTGCCAGTGAAGTCCTTCCCGTCCAAGGTAATAGTCTTGCCACCGAATCCATGCCTCCGAAGATGATAGCGTCCGCCCGAACTCATCCGTCGCCGCAGTTTTCTCCACATTGCTTTCATCACAAACGCCATATTTGCTCGAACTTATTGTTCAGTTAATGGAACCATGACCTTACTCATTATGTCTCTACAGGATACAGACGCGGGATATCATGGAGGAGTTATGTTGCATGGACACTACATGAGCATTAAGGACGACCTCATTTGCCATAGTTTGGGGCTGCATGGAATGCAAAAGCGTTTAGCTTGGAGAGGCTTTAAACAGGACCTGTTTTGGGGGTAAGAAGGCCGGGCCTGTTTTCAGCTACGCTAAGTAGGCATAGATTCAGAATGCGTTCGGGAACTTGTTTTAACGGATTGGGGTGTCTCTATGCGAGGTGACAAGGAGTTGGGTATTTTCTTCCATTCCGATTTTACATGCGTAGCTTTCAAACCAGAATCCTGCACACAAACTGTAGCGAAGGGACATGTGATCGCACATAATAGGCTGCCTTTCATTTCCTAGATCGTGTCGTGTTGTAGATACGGCATTTATACAAGAATGTAGACAACGGAATCTGAAGGACTTCCAATTTGGAATTGCGGTTTGCTTGATTTCCTGTTTTGTTGTTTCCATCTAGACTTACAGCAGGTATGAGATGAAAGGATTGTTAACCAACACACTCATGTCTCTGGGATCCTAGGATTTCCGAAACACGATGTCTTCTAAATTGAATGGGTCCCCAGAACATTTGGAATCAATATATCCTTGCAGTCAGATTCTTCAGGCACGAGGAGGGTGTTGAGGCGATTCACTACTAGGGGAAGCGCTGATGAAGGGATTATGGATTATTTTATCGATACCAAGCCAACTTTCAAACATTTTCTGAAATAGTTCCCAAAGCAATATACTGTACCGGCTCTTGAATACGTTCTCTGCAAAGCCTTGCGTATGTCGTCTCACACAGCCATAAACTGCTGCTTAATGAGTCCATTTGACCCGCCTATCTTAATAGGTGTACCTGGGTCCCAGTGAAACAGTGGTTTTCTCAGCAGAAAATTACATTAGCCTGAAGCCACACCCGAAGCCCTGCAGTCTTCGGCCCTGAACCTGCGCTGCAGCCTCACCTCTGTGTGCAGTGAACACGAGGTTCCTACATCTGTGTCCTAGGCACATCGTGCTGGAGAATGCGAAGGGGCATTCATACACTCTTGGCCTGAACAACTTCACGGACATGACCTCCGAGGAGTTTGAGAGAACCCGCTCCTATGATGCAGAGGGATTTCCGTGACGGGTGGCAGCCCGCTATTTCCCTCAAAAAGACGTTTGACTTAGCAAGCACGCCCTGCAAGGATAACTGAACTGGCGATTTTTGGACCTCAGGCCGCAATCGCAACGCCAGGCATTCCAAGGTCGCAACGACCGGACAGTTTTGTCTTCCACATTCTTTACGATGCAGACCCTTGGAAAGTTCAATCACACGGACCCACCCAACACTCGCAGCCCACAACGCGTGAAGGCCGGACATGCGCGTTAATCCGGCAAGCCATCTAAAATGAGCGTTACATAGGTCTTTTTTGCCTGCCTGGGAGGCTTGTGACATTGTGTCGGATGTGCCGATCCCTAAGCCCACAACCTTCGAGAAGCCTTGGTACATTGAATGAACTGGAGGCTTGGGCCTGCGCAAGCCAATTCAGCAGCGGACGCCAGGAAGTGTCCATTCCCCAAAACTACCGCAGCTCGGCTGAAGCTGTAGAGGCCTGACATTGGTGAGCATAGTAAACTAGCAATCTGAACAGTAAATAGCACTTGAGAAGCAGCTGCAGCAGCAGCAGTAGCAGTGGCAGCAGAGGCGCAGCGGTGGTCCTAGCCCTATTCCTTTCACTTTGTGCTGCACCACCAGCACCAGCCTGCACCAACATTGCCAGCACCGCCAGCACCACTAGGACCAGCACCACGACCAGCAGCAGAAGCAGCAGCATTGGGCACCTGCCACCATCAGCTGCACTGGCAATACAGCCCCCTAACTCTAACCCCAGCTACACTTCCGTAAGCAGCGCGCTCCATGGCCCAAATATGCGTTGAGACTATGTTGTCCTTTTGGCTATGGAGCTGTCTGTATTTCTGTTCGGTTCAGACCCCATGCCTTGCATTCCTGTTGAGCTGCCCATTGAAGGTAAGTTGCCTGCTCGTGCCAGGCGAGCACAGGTCGCAGCACTTAACTTCCCCAATCTGGCATGGAGCCTGAAATGTGGTCCGCACCCTTTGAGGTTCTATGTGGGTTTCGGTTGCTAAAGGGGTCCTAGTGCTCCCAGGGTCATTACTGTCTAGGATCGCAAATGCAGCATACCCTCAATTCCAAAGGACAGGCACCGACTTTCAACCATACTCCCAGATGCACAGTCCCTCCCTGAGCCTGCAACCTGTAGATCCTGAACCCCAAGCTCGATTTAGATCTGGGACCGCGGACTGAAGCCGAAATCATCAACTACAACTATGGCCCCAAACCCAAGAAAGTACGAGAAGAGGAGAACTTCCCTGCCCAGCTCGGTGGATTGGCGAAACCACGGAGCCACTTAGGCTGTTTTTGGATTTAGGGCTTCAACCCTGGGTTCAAGGTTTGGTGTAGAGCGTCCAGGCGGGTTTCAAGCTCGCTTTGCGTGGATTGAGGGTCGCATCTCCGGCATGGGGTACGAGATGTCGAATCGCCCCAACTAGGTCCAGTAACAATGAGGTACCCCAACAGTACCTACTTTCGAGGTTTTGTCTCGGCTTGGTCGTGCCACCGAGCCCTCCAGGCAAAAGTGACTCCGCACTGAAACCTATACCCTCCAGTTTGAAGACCCTTGTTTCATGATGTTGTTGTGCAAAGCTTGAATCATAGACACCAACACCTCCACCCAACAGACACTGTACAGGCTGTGACGCCTGTGAAGAACCAGGAGCAGTGCGGCTTCACGACCGCTTTGTGCAAAAGCTTCTTTTGTGTTCAGGTCATAAAGTCAGAGACTGTCGATCACGGAGTCAATCATTGGAGGGTCAGGGAATTTAGGCTGTGCGGGAGGGGAGGGCACTGAGCAATTTCTGGTTTAGTTACAGCAGTCTATCAAGGAAAGACTGTCTATAAGCCTGAACCAAGTTCCATGGGATCATCACCACCATCATCGTCAGGGCATGAATTACAGTTGCTAAGGTAGAGTCGTACTTCTTGAACACAACCTAAAGAATTCCTGCAGGACCCGCCCATACGCCTTAGGTTAGATTGTTTTTAAGTCGGGTAGACAGGGGTACAGGGGTCAACAGTTGGAGCGAGGTTTCTTCTCTGCACGCTTAAGGGTTAAGCTTAGGGTCTGGGCTTCCGCAACCCAACCCCGTTGACTGGACCTTTTCCTTTGCAGTCCCAAGCCTTTCATTAAAGCCATACCAGAAACAGAAAAGCTAGCATGGCAAGATACGTTTGGAGGTCGCTCAGATGACAGACCACCCTGAGGCCAGAAGAGTCCCACACCCTCTAATTCAACGGCATTACTGGGGATCCCCTTCAGGCCAATCATTGCCGTGATCTCCAAACCTTCCAACTCCGAAAGTTTTTAGCTCATGGAACCCAATACCCGGGAACCATGCATGCAACCCCACTTACTTGTAGTGTAGAAGGGCTTGAGTTACCCGGTGGTGATCAATGCGTTAGAACCACTAAGCTGTAGTAAATGGGCCACAGGTAAGCCATGGTAAGCCCAATTCCTCATGTAAACCCATGCTGCTGTGAGGCTCCTGCTGGGCGTTTAGTGCCACCGGCGCCTTGGAAGGCGCCTGTCTATAGCAGTCAAACAACGAAGACGACAAAGGATGATTGGGCATAGGGGCTCTGGCTTTCAAGAGCTCCTCTCCCGGGGGCCCTACAATCAGCATCGTCTTTTAAAATTTGTTGAACGCTCCCATGCAACGGCGCTAGATTTTCGTCGCGTCAGTTGGGCCCGGCTGCGTCAGCAGTACTTCTTTCAGGCAGGGGCCCGTCTTACTGCATTATTGCACGGGATGTCGCTACAGAACGTCGAGACACATTTAAAGCACTCGGACAGTGCGGGGACCCCAAACAGTTCTGAGAACATGTCTTGTGTGATAGAGCATAACGTCATGTAAGGTTTTCTCCGATCGTGCTATGTCTTCTTCCAGCTCGTTTTGGCCCCATAGCTTCCTTCCACGAGCCGACCTAGAATCTCCACAATGCTTGTGGTAGCACAATCTGTTACTGAGCCACTTCGGAGCCCTGCAAGCCCTTCAAGACAAGGCGTGGAGGAGAGCATATACCTAAACCCTCCAATGTAGTACCTTCTTGGTAGTCCTATTAGGAGTCCTAACCAAAAAACCATTCCAAACCCAAAAAGGAACTACATTGGAGGATCTAGGTAAGCCATGAACCTTATCGTACATAGCATGTTTACAGACTCTGTGGGACTTCGGCAACTTTGATTACAGCTAGAGCGGTGGGTCTAAACAGTCGCTCAGTACAGATTGAAGCTATAGCTATTTTCTGAGGTCATAGCTGGATCAGACCCAACACCGACACAATTGCAGGATTCTTCATCGCAAGGTCCTCTGTTCAGGGCTCAGGGTTTGGGAATTTGCTTTGTGCCCTGCAGATCCCCAAAACCGCCACAGAATGCTTGTCAGGCGCATGGGCCATTGCCACGGGATCTTTGGTCTCCCTATCTGAGCATCTGGCTGCCTTTCAGGAGACTTCAGCTATTGGCTTTCCAATTTTCCACGGAAGGTGAATCCAGGGTTCTTCGGCCGGAAGCCGGAGCCTAAACGGGAGCCATCCAAGGCCTCCTTTACGAGACCACTGTTCTCGGTTTTCTTCTGTATGTGTTCTCAAACCAGGACGACCTTGACTTTCCGGGGCAAGCTTCTAGCAGAGCACTTTTGCATGACCTTCACGCAAGACACCGAACAAATAGCTTCAAAGGTTGCCGCTATGTACTAGCGCAACGAGCACCCACTTGAATCATCTTGTGCGCAGCTTTCTTTGGCATGAGCACGTAGTGAGAATCCCCCCAAACTAGGTTCCCGCCAACATCCACTTCTGTTACTGGGTGTACACCCAGGAACAATGTACTCTCGAACTCAAGCAAAGGTTACTACGAGATGCAGTCGCCACTAGCCACTCCGACCCGAACCCCCAGACCAAAAAAAAGCAGCCGTCAACACCCAACATCACGCCCAACAGGACTGCTGTCTGTTAGTGCTGCAAGGGAGCAAGCGAATGAATGTTGGTCTTCTACAGTACTGATACGTGGAATAATACATACACGTACGTATACTACTGGGGTCATTAGGGCTTCTCTGGGGCCACATGATGAGGCTCCCGTTATCTGGGAGTGTGAAATGCATTTACACGCGCACTTGCTTCACTTCAGAACTTGTTCTTCGTTGCACCGGATGCCCCTCGTATGTTGAAATTGTTGGACCATTTCAGCAGCAAACGCTATTGCCCTGAGCAATGTGATTTCCCTAGACGGCACTACCTGCACCTGCAGCCTTCACACTTTATGTCATGTTCTGAGGGCAGCGGGTCTGTGTCCTCCGGTAACGTTGTTTGGCACCTAGGAAAAGGCACGACTTGGACGGTTGCTCTGCATACATATGATAAGCAGCCCGGCAATGGGGATTCTTGGAGCTCTCGAGGATCAGTGGACTTGATAACAGGGCCCTGTCAACTCGCGAGCAACTTTGACTCATAACCGGACCAATCAAAGCCTGAATGGCATGAATCCACAAAGAGCCTTGACTTCATCCTGAATTTGAATCTTGCTTGTCCCAAGTACAGCTTGTTGAATCAAGTCTAATCAAGCCTACGCCGAAAGCTCTTTGTGGTGTCAGCTGAGACAGCTCGAATGCTTTTCAGGGCTGCAGCCGAGGCAACAGCTCATTGACTGTTCTGGCAGCTTTGGCAATGAGGGCTGCAATGGTGGCGAGCGCCTGTGCTTTGAGAGTTTCCTCCAAAATCCCTTGGTGGGATTAGGATTCAGGTTTTCTTTTGTTGGGAGATTCCTGGAAATTACAACACGGCCATCAACGATTGTAACGTTCACCTGTGAGGTGCGCTTTAAGCGCAGGAGGCTGGTTCGGGTATCCCTGACATTGTCAATGCAGGCCAAGACAACATGACATATGATTGTGTTTGTGTATATGTGTGTGTGTATGTATGTGTGTATGTATGTATGTATGTATGTATGTATGTATGTATGTAGGTATGTACGTATGTACGTACGTACGTACGTACGTACGTAGGTAGGTATGTATGTATGTATGTATGTGTGTATGTATGTATGCATGTACGTACGTACATGGGTACGCATACACATATACGTTTGCATATACACCTACATGTACATATACATATACACATGT